AACTTAGTCATATATAATAGTTTGTAATGGCAGCCATTAAAAGGACTGGGGCCTTACATTGTATCTTTAAGGATTATATATGAACTCTTATATCTATATTTGATATATATGAATTCTTATATCTCATATAAGAATTTAAAACCTATATATATTATGTGTATCAAAAATAACCTTAAATTTTTATTGATATATAATAATCTAAACCAATGTAACCTTTAAATTTTATAAGTGTACAACATTCATTACCAATATAGCAAAATATAACTTCAACTTTTTCACCAAAATACAAAGATCTATATACCAATGTAAGATTATGGTTGTAAAATGTTTTTTGGTTTAACAGTAGAATCAATAATATTCCTCTTTTTTTCTTACTATTCCTATAATACTTCTGTTTCTCCCTTTTTTCTTGTCAACTTTTTCCTTCTTACATAAAAAAGAAAGAAGGCTAAAAAAAGGGAAAGGAAAGAGAAAAAAAAAAGAAATCCCTGAATCTAACCAATTTCATTTGCTCTTTTTCCAAGATCATAACTATTTGCAACAATCCCCTTAAATGATGACAAACTTCCAACATCCAATGAATGACCAAAATTCTCTATCCCCTCTCTTGGGAAAAAGAGGAAGCTGTCTTACAATTGCTTCCTGCTGGTTTTGGGGTATAGTTTTCCCTCCCAAAAGTTGGAAAACGGTTAAGTCCTAAGAAAGCCAGCTGTAGCATTTGTTGTCCAGTCTCTGTACGCTGAGAAAGTTCAGGCTGAAGTGAAGTCCTGATTGGATAATTCTGTGAGGCTGGACTTAAAGAGCTAGTTTTTGAAGTTGTCCTGGAAGCAAGTCTTTAGAGGAAACAGAATTGATGCAGTCTAAGGTAGGATCAGTCAGGAAGCTGGAAAGTGTCAGCGTCTCAGCATCTCCAAAGGTGAACCTTGTCAGGGCTGTATTCTTGTTTTGTTTTTGTTTTTTATAAACACAAAGCTTTCAAAGGATGGATGGATATATATGTATATATAATCCAATAAATCTGAAGTTATAGCTGAAGTTATGACTGGAGACATTTATATGTCCCAGTCAGTGTCAGACTTGTTTCATTTAAAGGAGCCAACATATAGATTACCTATCTTTTGATTTTCTTCTTATCTGTAGCTGAGATCTTCAGGATGTCTCCCTATGTCATGTTTGATTTTTATCAATTTGGATGGAACCCATAGTTCTCCCCCCACCATGGAAATAGAGGTATAACCTCTTTCCCAACATAACATATTTCCTGTTTTCCATTCTGAGGTTAGAACATCTTTAAAACAAATAAGCTGGTTTAGTTCAGCAGTTCTTTTCTTCTTCTTCTTTTTCTTCTTTTTCTTCTTTTTCTTCTTTTTCTTTTTCTTCTTCTTCTTCTTCTTCTTCTTCTTCTTCTTCTTCCTCTTCCTCTTCCTCTTCCTCTTCTTCCTCCTCCTCCTCCTCTTCCTCTCCTCTTCCTCCTCTTCCTCCTCCTCCTCCTCCTCCTCTTCCTCCTCCTCCTCCTCCTCCTTCTTCTTTTCCCCCATATCCAATCTCTCTCAGCAGCTGTAGTTTGTTGTTTGCTCACATTAAAAAAAATTAAAGTTAACAAAGCACTATGTGCCCCTTATGATGACACTTACCTGGATGAAGCTAAGCAAGCTGTACAGAAAGTATGTATCTGCAAGGTGTTGGTCTTCAGGTAATTGATTTGCTCTAAAAGCAAAGATGATTAGCTAGGTAGATATCCTAGTTATTGCTAGGCAAACAGCAGAAAAACAGTGCAGGAAGGTATCTGAATTAGGAAGTCTATAACCCTTATAAGAGAATGCACTGGAATACTGAGTGACAAGGTACAATAACACAGGGAAACATTTATCATTAGTCAGCATTGTTCCATAATTGATCAATATGTCAGAGTACAGAACAATAAATGAACATTTTTCCATTTAATAAATGTTATCAGAATTTTTTCAATGTGTAGTCCTCCTTGGATTACTTTATAATTTGAATTTCAGATAGTTTGTGTCTTCATTTGATTTTGTATGTAGGCACAAGAGATGGAAATATTTAACCAAATAGATGGTTACTAGAAAGTTGGATTATTTTGTGGTAAGTAACAGTTTTAGCTAGTATCACGAATATGTTAAGTCAAGTAACATAATGACTATTATTTGATGAGTCCACGTGTGTTTTTTTTATTCTCACCACATTTCTTCACACTAGACTGCATAGGTCTTATGTGTATTTTATTGGTTAGGAAGTTGAGAGTTGAACATTTCTTTGAAGGTCATGGTGAAGATGATTGAGCTGGCATATGCACTGTCTTGAAACAAGAAATCTTAATTTTCATTGTGCCTCAGATGGTCTTGTAGCACCTAAAGTGAATTAGCTAGCTAACCAATCTCCTCACCCACACATTTTCTCTGGCAGGCTGGGCTTACTATATTTGCAGTGGGGTTGAAATTCTTACATACTACCAGGGTCGAGCTACTTGCTCTAAATTTTATTTAAATTTAAATATATTTTGTGTATATTTTGTGATCTCTCTCTTTCTCTCTTACACACACACACACACACACACACACAGACACAGACACACACACACACACACACACACACTTACCGCATCCATTCTTTAATGTTTATTTAAGCCTTTTGTTAAGGCCCAGTAGTGGCTTACTATGGTACCTCCCTACTCCTGACTCTGTCCATGGTGCCATTTTGCTCTCTGCTGCATCCAAAGGGGAAGGAATGAAATCAACAAAATTGGGAAAGTTGACTTCTTAGACTATACAAAGATGTACTTAGGCATAATGACTACGATTTAATAGATGGTAAGGGTTTTGAGTGATGTCAGATGTAGTACTTGTTACCGGCAGTTAGCTGCATTAGGTTATGTAGAGTACTCTTGTATAGCACTCTATGGAGCACAAAAATTAAAGCTTTCTTGACTTTTGGTGAAATTGACTTCTGGACTTGATGATATTTTCTGTGATAAAATTCTAGTTGGCAGCTAAGGTAAAGAGCATTTTCAAGGCCAAGAGGCTACAGCCCCAGTGAGGAAAGCTGCTTTTGTAATCTTTGTTTATTTTTACATCTGCTTTTGTCTATCATATTTAACATTCTCATAAGAAAAATCTCCATACTATTGCATAACTTATTAAAATCTAAATTGCCTAACAGGCCTGTTTTTACAAAAATAAAAAAATGTCTTCTTTAAGAAGATTTCACAAAGCGAGTCTTTATGATTTTTCATTTTATCCATGGTGTTTGAGAAAACTGTACATGATTGAAGAACAAATAATGAGAATTTCTTGTGTATGTGTTATTGGAGACTGAAGTCCAGGGTTTATGCAAACTAGGCAAGCTTGCAACATGAGCTGTATTCTTAGCTTTTGGTTTTTGAAACTCTCCAGAGGAGTTCAAGCTTGCCACCCTCCTGCCTCTGCTTTCTGAGTGCTGGGATTATAGGTGTGCATTACCATGCCCAGCTCAGAAGGCTCTCCGTGCTACATTCATGTCTCATTGCTAGTGTCTTTCAGAGTTCCACAGAGGCAAGGCTCATGTAGAAATCTTATAGTTGGATAGCTATGGCTGTTTTACTCCAGAAAACCAACTCTGTGCTCCAAGTAACAAAGCTAAACTCAAAGAACATGTCTTTGAGTAATGTAGAAAGATCAGTGGCTAGAGGGCTATAAAGGCCTGTGGTAGAGCATTTGTTTTCTTTAAGTGAGGCTCTGAGGTCATGCATAGCAAGAAAAGACAAGTATACAAAATAGAATTTGACTTATGGTATTTGTTTTTTATTAAGCAGAACTTCTTGGCATATCTTATTATAATATAGAATATAAAATGGTCTCTGTGAGTTTTCACACAGAGGGCTGGAATTTATTAAAACTCACTAAATGTTTAAAGCTTGTCTTCTTACTTTGTATTATTTATTAGCTATCCCAAATAGATTTGCAATGTGTTAAAATGACCGTGTTCTTATTTCAGGTTAATGAAAATATAATGCATGTAACAGTACCTCACAGAAAGTTCTGGAAATGTGTGTGGGTTTTTTGTTATGTGTTGATCTTTATTTAGTATATCTCAGAGAAGCTTGGCTCGGGATGTAACCCACAAATATGTACTTAACATTCACAAAAAACAGGTTCATCCTAAGCACTTGAGAAAAAGGAAAGGAGGAGGTGGGGAGAGGACAGTGGCCACCATGGAGGCTTGACGCATGCTCAGGTTGTGTTCTGCTTTCTGTTGTACACAGAGCACGTTAGTTAACTTCTCTGCTTCATGTTTCTCTCTGTTTAGTTTAAATGGGGGATGATAATATTTTCTTCCTGGATTATGACAGTTAAATGAATTAATTTATATGGAATTTCCAATAATACCCAACATATGGAGACTATTAGTTATGGATGCTTTTACATGTTCATAGTTTTGCTAGTTCCTGTACATGCAAGTTGAAAAGCATTGGGACATTGATTGTGATCTTCATGTTGCCCTGAGAAGCACGGTACACAGTTAGTTCTTGATTATAGTTTAGCTTACAAATATACTGTAGGGTTGAAAATTGGCAGTGAAAAGGATATCCCAAGCTGACATTTGCCTGCCATGGGAAAAGTCTGTACTCTGAAGATCAGTCACCATGTTTCCTCTTGTTATTTTAAGAGGAATGAATAGTTTGGCTCAAAATAAAGTTATATTAATTAACCTTATATTATCTTGGTTTTCTATATCATTGCTTTTAATTTCCTGGAAAGAATACTTTTTCTATTTATTTTAAAGCTATAATCTGTAAGACTTGTGATTATTAAAAGAAAGAAAGAAAGAAAGAAAGAAAGAAAGAAAGAAAGAAAGCAAGCAAGCAAGCAAGCCCTGGTTATATCAGCCTCATCAAGTGACCTGGATTGAATATCAGGTCATCAGAATATTTATTAGTTACATAACCCAAAAGTTTTCTTTTAAAAATGCACACGGTAAAAATTCCTTAATGGGACCGATGGCAGCTTTGGTCGTCCAGGAGTGGAATGTTATTGCCAGCACGACAGCGGAGCAGCAGTGATCCAGCTCCAGTTCCTGATTAATGAGGTTAGTGACTAGTGTCTATTCCTCCTACTTAGACCCCAAATTAGAATACATCCAGTTCTTCAGATTGCTTGCATATACTTATAAGTAAATATTTGAACAAAAACGTAATTTCTTGAGAGTCAGATGCAGTCATAATTCATTTTAAGGTGCCACCGCAAATAGTCACATAATATGTTTTCCCAGAATAATGTTACAAGTAAAATAAAAATATTTTTGTTACCTTATGGTATATTTTCACTATTATTTCAAAGACTTTGGAAGTTGCATAGCATTAAAAAGTCTGTATTGAAATAGTGTTAAATACATCATTCATTATAGGTAAAAGAAAGTGCATTAGCAGAGTGCTTCAACACACTCCTGGGGAGACAGCTTCCATTTGAAAGTGTTACTTCGTTTTTGAGAATGTGAAGTGTAAAAGGAACTAGAGAAAAGTCCATTTTACAGCATAGGAGACTCTGCCTGCAGAGAAACCGCTTGAGAAGGGTTCCACTTTCTTTAAATTTAAGGATAGTCTGTGAACACTCTTATTGCCCTAAATTCTTGGGATCTATAGAATAAATCCCACAATATGTATGAAAAATGGGCCAGTAAGTTGGCTTAGTGGGCAAAGGCATCATAATAAGTTTGGACGTGTGACTAATCCCCTTTGTCTAGAAATTGTTACTCTTTTACTGTATACCTGTCTTCTCTAGGGGTTTAATGAAAACGCACTTGGAGAGATCTTGGCTCTGAAAACTCTGGCGTGTTGAACCTGGGCAAGACTGAGCCCCCTCTGTGCCTCTCTTACCCATGAGTGTTAGGTTGTGACCGATTGGTCAGTGTTTTCAGTTGTTCAGAGTTGATGACTGTCCTGTTGTTATAATCTAAGTAAAGGACTTCTATTAGGATTTGTCTTGCAGAAATAAAATGAGGGGTCACTTTAATTTTGTTTTTAGTCAAGACAGTATCTATATTAATGATCAAATAACTTGGGATCTAATATCTAATAATCTTAGAGACTTTAGCCATCCCACCAGATGAAATCTCCTATGAATTTACAGCCATCACCTATGCTGTGAAATGGACTTTTCTCTAGTTCCTTTCATACTTCACGTTCTCAAAAACAAAGCCCGAAACAACACGAACGCTTTCAGATCCTAGCATACTTTTGTATTATGAGATGGGAAGTTACTTAAGCAGTGAAAGCATTAATTGGATATATATGCATATAACATGCTTTTCTCCATCTGCTGTTTGGAATTTGAGTGAGGCAAATGCTTCTTGGAACTATAATCTATTAAGAAAAAAGTTTTAAATATAAGAGGATATTTGGCAGCTATTTGGAAGTATACACATATAAAATATACTCTATTTTCAAGGGAGCCCTTGTGAGTGCCTTGGCTGATGACACCTTACACTTATGGAATTTACGTCAAAAGAGGCCTGCCATACTACATTCACTTAAATTTTGCAGAGAAAGGTAAGAATTCTCTGTTTTCATACAGATAGAACATTTGGTATTCTGTTTTCATGCGCTTTTGAACAGTATTCTTTTGGGGTTGGAGAGTAATGTACTTACTGTAGACTTTGAGAAGTAATTTCAGTATCAGAGGATACACAACCGAGTTCTTGTTTCCCACAGAGAACTGTGTAAAGTCTCTCCCTTTGATTCCTAGAAGCACTTGCAGTATATGTATAAAGGTGAAAAACAAATCTCTATGTAGCTTCTCTTTTCTTAAAAAGGACACTGTACAGTCTTTCCACAACTTGTACTGCATACCTGATAGATTATCTTTTATCAGCACCTTTAGATCTCTCTGGGCCATTTTCATAATTACATACTCTTCTAATGTGTCAGAGTGTCATAGTGTGCTCAGTAAATCTTCATCACAGATATTTATAGTTGTTCCTTTTGCTTTATTATGTTGTACTATATAATTATGTATATATGTATATACACACAAATTATATATATGAACATATATATATAAGTATATCTAAAAGATTAATTTCTAGAAGTAGAATAGTTGGTCTAAAATATCACTCATGATAGAATTTGTTGCCTGAAGAGATATTCTTCACAGTTTTGTTAAACACTCTTCTCCATGTGTTTTTATAGAACGCCTAAGTATTCATTATTATGCTTCTCTTTTGATTCATATGGTACTTATATTTGACCTGAAATATGAATTAATATATAACCTTTACAATTCGTGAGACTGTTTCTAGATGTATGATGTGTGTATGTGTGTGTGTGTTTTATGTAGTCGTAGTTGACATTGAAGATAAAATCACTTCCTTTGTTCAAGTGTTAACCTATGTTCCATTTAATGAGTGTTAAGTTCAGCTGTGAGTCTTTGTCTCTGGGCTTCTACACCAACCCCAATAGTCTTCACACTAGAGCAAGGCAAGCTAAAGTCGTCTCTGAAAATGCAGCATCTCACAGTACCACATATCCGAGGGCATATCTACATCAAGTGGGAGTGGGTGTGAATACAGAGTAGACCTAGCAAGGAGTTAGTAACTGTTGCTGTTGGTTACATTGTGTTTGGGAAGATAAAGTACTTATATTATGTCAGTTCAGCCATGCTTGCTTCTGGAAGGGCAGAAGTGAAAGAGAGCTTACTAGCAAAATCCATGGGGAACAAAGAAGCAAAAAAGTAAACTTATTTTCTACCTCTTGACTTCTGAGGAGTCCTTTAATCTGTCTGCTGATGGTTCTCGGGGGAGCTGTATCAGTTCCAGTGCCACAGACTATATGTTAGATGGACATTTGGTCCTGGAACTTACCTCTCATGAGTGCTGTGCTCCAGTGGAGCTGGAGATCTAGCAGGGTGGTTGTCACATTCAGATCATTTTGAGAAAGAAGTAGGTCATTGAGTGTGAGTCTTTAATATGTTGTCCCTCACCCCTTCCTATTGCTTGCTCTGCTTCCTGTGTCACATGAAATGAAGAATTTTTTCAGTCATATGCTCTTTCAGTTTCTGCTCAAGCATGTGGCACCAACCTACTATGAATTGAACCTGGGAAACACTGAGCCCAAATGAATCCTTCCTCCCTTAACTAGTTTTGGCAAGGCACTTTGGTCACAGCACTGAAAGCTAACTGATACAGAGTCTCTAGGAAATGGTAGGTCCTAATGGGGAATGGCAAGTCAGCCTAAGATGCATTGGCAAATAAAGTTCCCTTTGTGAGAAGTGCACAAAGGTGGCTTTTCTCAGTAATGAAGCCTGGTGTTTGTTGTCTTCCACACCCCCTTGATTGGGCACTGCTATGTAAGACACAGCCTGACAGTAGTATGCCATGTTGTAAAACTGACAAATGAAATGAGTTGACGATTTTCCAGTTCTAGACCTGTAAGATGTTTATCCGCATAACAGGCAGAAGTTTGTTAAAGCCTGTTCAAGCTTGTATACCTTGTTCTGTTACTGTTTCTTCACGTGGTTGCCAGGTGAGAGGCATTGAAGGAGGATCCTGGTTTGCTTGCCTGCCTGCCCCCCCTTTCTTCCCCAAAATTGGATGTTTTGTGCATAGTTTTATCTTTAGTAATAAATTATAAATTAGTGGAATTTTTTATACATATAATAGAAATTTAATATACTAATTCAAGTTATATTCTTCACAATATGTATTTTATTCTAGTTTAATTTTTTGAAGTATAGTAAATTACACCATATAAAATTACTATTTCTTAAAATTTTTAGCCTACAGTTAATATTAAACATACAGTGTTGAATAAACCTGTAATGTATGCTTTGATAGATTATATTTTTGTGGTGTTTAAGAAAAAATAAAACAGGTAGTTGAGTCTCAAGTTTTTGGTTAATTCTATAAACTTGAGAAAATTACTTTTTTGCTTTGTGTGATGTTTTTCTAATTTACAGAAAAATTTCCTGTAAACTTCATAGTCTTTAATGTTGTTGTTGTTTTTTTTTTTTTTACTTTTTAATTTTACATCCTGCTCAGTGCCCCATATTGTCCCCTCCCATAGTCCTTTCCTCCTTCCTTTCTCTTCCACCAGGGTATCCAACCTCTCTCTGCCCTAGGACTTCAAGTCTTTGTGAGGCTAGGCGCTTTCTCTCCCACAGAGGCCGGACAAGGCAGCCTAGCTACAAGAACATATCCCATGTACATAGAGCTCTTGCTTCAGTTGTCTGGGAGCCACATGAAGACCAAGCTGCACATCTGCTACATATGTGTGGAGTGTCCTAGGTCCAGCTCTTGTATGTTCTTTGGTTGGTCTCTGAGAGCCCCAAGGGTCCAGGTTAGTTGACTCTGTTGGTCTTCCTGTGGAGTTCCTCTCTCCTTCAGGGCCTACAATCCTTCCTCCTATTCTTCCATAAGAGTCTCCAAGCTCTATCCACTGTTTGACTGTGGGTGTCCGCATCTGTCTGAGTCAGCTGCTGAGTGGATCCTCTCAGAGGACAACATGTTCCTGTCTGTAAGCATAACAGAGTATCATTAGTAGTGTTCAGGATTGGTGGTTGCCCATGGGTTAGATTAGTTATTGGTTGGCCGTTCCCTCAGTCTCTGCTCCCTTCCCAATACCTGCGTTACTTGTAGGCAGGTTAAATTTGGTGTTGAAGGTTTTGTGGGTAGGTTGGTGTCACTATCTCTCCACTGGGGTTCCTTTCTGGATACAGGAGGTGGCCTCTTCAGGTTGCATATCCCCAGTGTACTGAATCACAGCTAAGGTCACCCCTATTGATTCTTGGGTAGCTCTTTTGTCCCAAGGTCTTTACCGTTTTATTTCTTGTAAATGTTAAACAGCTATTTCTGATTTTCCTCTTTACTCTGAGGATAATTGTAGGGTATGTATCTCAGTCCTGAGTGCTGAGCAGAATTTGACATCATAAACAAGGACTTGGGTCTTAACTTTTAAGATACTGGGCAAAGCTAAGCAGACAGTCAAACTTCCCAGTTGCCCAACTAAATGGTAGTTTTTCATACTAAATGAATAAATACGTATTTAGTTTCCACAGGATGATTGTTAATTTTGCGTAAGAAAAAACCTAGGACTATCCTCCTGGTTGAGCAGTCAGCTGATTGTGCACAGGCAGCTGAGGCCCTCTCCTCCATTTCCGTATAGGTCTCAGGCTGCTGCTCAAGCGTAGCCCGAGGATGGACTATCCTCGCAACAAGCCATATCAGTCATACTAGCCCTGGACTAATAAATGACTTTATTTTGGTAATGATTTTATCTCTGCAGTGGGCTAGGAGTGGCTAGGCCTTCAAAGTATGATGGAGGCTGGTTTACAGGAAGTAGTTTACAGCCAACCAGAGTGCAGGGGAGAGTGAGCACTAAAAAGAAAGAGTAACACATTTTCAAACTTCAGAAATGAAACACAGTTTTGTTTTTTCCTTGTAATTAGTATGTAGGCTGTTATGCCATCACCAGGTTCAGAGCCTTTGAAAGATTAATCTGCCATGTAATTTTTACCACAGAAATTCATTTGCCAGTAGTGTGAGCTATAGTGTTGAAAGGCTTTGGGAACAGTGCGGTGTATTACGGAGTACTTTGATGTGGTCTTCACTGCTCTGACCCCTGTTACAAACTGAATTGTGTCTCCCAAAACTGTTGCAGTCCTAACCCCCAAATGTGAGCTATTTAGAAATAGGGTCTTTCCAATGAAACTAAGCTAATGTGGCCAGCACTAATATGGTGTGTCTTTGTAAGAGAAAAAGACAAGTGCGCGCATGTGCGCGTGCGTGCGCGCACACACACACACACACACACACACACACACACACACACACACCAGGGAGGAAAGAAAGAATGGAGATCATGTAGAATAATGAATCTTTAATTCAAGGAGTAAAGGATAGCTGACAATACCAGAAGCTGAGCCACAGAGCTTGGACCAAAGCCTGCTCCAGAGCCCTCAGAACTCTGTTGACATCTTGATGTCTGTCCTTTACTTTCCAGAACTGCAAGAACAGAAATTTCTGCCTTTGCTAATTTACCATGCCAGTCCTAGAAACTAACATTGCTTCTGTTGTTCTCGCTCAGTATTGGCAATCTTGCCACGTACTACTGAGTTTATTCATATGGAGAAGGTCTTGGCTTTGATCGAAACTGAGAATTTGATAAGTGAAATTCTTTGTGGCACTTATATGTTCCACTTGGCTTATACTTTGATATTTTTTCCTTTGAAGGACATTTAATTAGGAAGAAGTCTTAGATTAATAAACAGATACAACTATCTCCTACTTGTAACTCACCACTATGAATTCAAATGAGTGTTATTTTTCAACAATGCTAAATTTTTCCACGAGTTTGAAATAGAAATATAAACAATCAAAATTAAGAATTGAAGTAAATATATAGCCTCCCTGTTCTTGTCTGAATCTGTCTAATACTTTCATTGAACATGTAGTTCTTATTGTTTATGAAACTTCCAAATAAGTGCTGCTTATTCTCAGGACATCAAGAAGATATTCCTCACCTCCTGTTGTAAGGAGGACTTCCCTCCTCAAATG